GGATGCATTGTCAGGCATTATACCGGTGTGTTTCCAGCAGTTTGCTATCGTTTCACTGCTGATATTTGCTCAAGCATCATGAGCGATAGTCATAGCTTCAAGGAGATCAAGCTTGAAGATCTCAGACTCTCCAAGATCATTGAGATCAAGTGCACGGATACACATGGCATTCTGATAATGTGCCTTGAAGCAGCGGATAATACTAGCATCTAGCGGCTGAACATATGGAGTCATATTGGGCTTGAAGAACTCCAGCTTTGTGTTATGGGGTGTATAAGCGATGGAATGCCCTTGAAAGTTGTCTAAGATCAGCAGAACCTGTCGCATCTCCCTCTTCATCTTTAAATCAAACATCTTCACCCACTCCATAAATATTTCGCTCGTCATCCAGGCCTTCTTGTTATTCCGATAATAGAATCCCATTGCTGTTGGACTCTTTTTCTTGAAACACCATGGTTGCTTTGACTTGTCAATGAAAACAACTGGCATTCGCTCACTCCCATCTGCATTCACAGCAAAACACATGGTGATGCAGAACTTATCCTGTTTTCGTCCACTCATAGGATCAGATGCCAAGGTATGATCTGGGATGGCAAAGATGACAAGACTGGATTCATCAATATTCCATCTGTCCTGCATCGCATATTTCACTATAATGCTGTGAAGACGCACACGTTCTTTTTCCACTGCCATCATATCCACTGAGCCTGCTTCTCCATGCCACCGAACCTCCTGAATCTTCCATGCCTTGCAGAATGACCTCAACCATTCCTCTCCTTTTAAACACTGATCCTCTGAAATATTCATCAGATTTTCAATCCGATTTCGCTTCTCTATCAGCATTGCACCAGTTACAGTCTCATCTCGGAGCTGCATGTTCTGATACCAGGATGCAACAGCATGCTCCACATCAGGTCGGGTGACAATACGAGACTTTTTGGATGATAGTGCATTAGGGTTCTTGTTTGCACGCTGTTCGATTTTTGTATGAGATGCCAGTTTCCGTGAAAGAGTTGATTGGGTAAAGAGCAGTGCACCTTCCTTTCGGTTTGTGAAATGTGCCACAATGTCAGCATGTCGATGGGAAGGATGGTTATCAACATGTTTGAATACTACGAGCCAGTCTCCTGTTATGAGGTGTGGGCAGGAGATCTGCTTTGGAGGCTGAGCTGATGATGTATACATTGGGACTTTCTCCTTCTGTTTTGTATGCTCATATGGATTTCCAGATTTAGCACGTGGTTTTCGTGTTGGTTCAGGAGGCATGTTTATAGAGATATAGGCTGCATCGCTTTATAATAATTTTTTTTGTGTTTGTTATAGTCCATACAAACAAATTATGTTCTTTATTGTTCTAATATATGCATAATATCATATCAGCTTACTATAATTTTCGATCTGACAATGCATATTCCTAACTAGAACTATATGTATTATGCAATATGCATTTCTAGCCCATTTCCCTGCTCCCCAACTGCATTCCAGCCCAATCCATATGCATTGTCAGAATTATGCATTTTGACATCATGCATTGTGAGATAGTCAACTGTATTTAGAAAACGGCAAAAAACCCGAAGTCCAAAAAGACTTGCCACTGTGCTATCATTGGCAACAATTTTATGCATATTCAGGATTTTGGAGCAAATTCAGCCCCATGAAGATGTGGAATTCAACTAGAAGTAATAGTGGCATATCATTCTATTTCTGATATAGAAGCTGGTGAAACAAAGACTACATCTGCCAACCAGTGCAATCATCATGTGCCTGAATGTGTCATGTGATAGGTAAGTAACATTCCTGAGATCTTGCACCAGCATCAACCACCAAGGCAGACTCCTACCCATTCATCTTAACACATTAGAGAAATTTATTTATTATGCTAAACACACTGTACAGATATTTGGACTTTATATTTGCTGCTCTCACTGATTCCATCATCCTTTTCTTCTGTCTGGATATCCTCAAATTTCTTCACCTCAATATTTTGGATTATGGTCAATTTCATGCTTGGTGGATGACAGGCAATGGCTCTGATAAGACTCAATGAAGATTTTTTAGAATGAAAAATATAACTGCTGCTCAACAACTGAAATCTATACTTCAAACAGCACTCATCTAAAGAAGATTCCATTGGCAAAACAGCACTATCACTGCTCATGCTCATGCTGGCATCAGACTTGCTGTAGACTTTCTTGAATCCTCTTCTCTTGACCACTTTATTAAAGTCTCTTTTATTTATAGCTAGATCACTTATCTCTTATTACAATCTTATTTCATTAAACTGGAATTTAGCTGTAATATTATGATAATGGACTGTAGTGGTGTATGAGACTTTAAGAGCTGCATAAACATCCACATATATGAGCATATGATATTATTATAAGAAGTAGGATAGCTTCTATTAGATCTGTGAAGTTATAAGTGTATAGAGCTGATAGACTCATCAATGATACTGTTAAGCCCAAATTCTATATGACTAATAACATGTGATAAACTATTGCTATCTCACACTTTGAGTAAAATGATAGAGTCCACTTGATGTGATATTAGAGTTGTGTTGTTAAGGCATTGCAAGTTGCTCAAGATAAGATGGTGAAAGAATAAACTTTAGCTCAAAGCTGAGATACTACAGTGAGAGCTACACTACTTAAATACTAATTGTTATCATTTTAAGAATATAACTATATAATTGTTCATTCTGCTGCTGTATAGCACTTTGTCCAGTGTTGCCAAGATATCTACAAAAGAGTATTGTCTACCATAGAGCTATTATTGCTGTTATTGCTGCAGGATGATAAAAGAGGTATATTGCTATTAAACAGCTTTACAGCAGCACAGTAGAATCTAGGTCAGGATGCTGACTAATCCTTTCCATAATCCTAAGTGCTGGTCTAGGCACTCTGACTAAGCAGAAATAGAGGTCAATTCTGAATAATGTTAAGGAAAAAGAAAGTAAAATAGAAAAAATTATAACATTACTCCCTCCTTAAGACTATTGTCCTGATGGTTAATTTAGAGATAAGTATGCTGGTCTTAAAGCAGTATCCACAGTCCTTTCCAGCATCTTGCAACATGTCCTCTGCTGGCCATCATAATATCTTGTTTCAGTCATAATATGTCATTAATATGCCTTCTGCAGATATTAGTAGTAATCTTCCTCTGCCATTGTTAATTGGTTTGCTGTTTATAGTCATGAATAGCTTCTTCAGCATTCATGTATTTCTCATTGACCTATTGATTTGATTCTGAGCCATATCTTTTTCAACTGACCAGATAGTCAACTATTGTTGTCATTCTCTCTCTGTAAGCTTTGATTTTATATATTTTATGATGTAGTATTTGATTGATTTCATAATGTTTTTTATTGTCGATTAGTTTTAGTGGTGATGGTGGTGGTTGTTTTTGGTTTGAAAAGACAGATATGATATAGGGTGTTAATAATGCCTCATT